TTTTATAAGAGGGAGCTGTGGCTTTAGACTTTAGGCAAATATCACAGCCATTTCTCATGACATCACATTCTTCTGCTTCAATACTGCATTCCTTCAATAAGGTTTTCCCGGGGTATTGGCCTTGAGCTCCTACGGGTAAATTCCACCTCTCCCTGTGATGTTTGCTGCTCGAACATCATACGAGAGAGGTCATTTTGGCTCCCCAAACTCTCCTTAGGGGCTCTTTAAAAAGTTAAGGCTGCGGGCAATGGCCCCGCCAGGAGGGGGCGAAAGGTTTCCTCGGCTCCCTGGGCGGCGGCCTTGAGCTCCTATGGGTGAATTCCACCTCACGCGTGTGATGTTTGAGCGGCATTGCCTCGTGAGAGGTCATTTTGGCTCCCCCAGCTCTCCTTAGGGGCTCTTTAAAAAGTTATGGCCGCTGGCGGCCCGAGGAGGGCGCGAAAGGTTGCCCCGCTTCCGGGGTGGCCGGCTTGAGCTCTTACGGGCAAATTCCACCTCTCGTGTGGGGGCCGTTTTAGTATTAGTCTTGTGGTACTGCAAGACTGTGGGAACCTGCCTTGAATTTTGCTGTGCTTGTGGGAAGCAGCCTCCATACTCTGTTTCCAGGATCCAGGCTGTCGGAAGAAGCAGCCTCTCTCTCACTAAGGAGGAGATCAGTACATGTACAGGGCGTTTTTGGCTTTCCTGTAGCGATCGAGTGCCTAAATAACCTCGTCGGTTCAACAAGAACACATATTCAAGCCAGAGGGTCGGGGCCAAGCGCCAGCAGACTGCCTTTGTTTCTCCCCCCCCCCCCCCCCCCGTTTTTCTGGCTTTCTTAATTTTTTTTAAAACAACAACAACAACAACAACAACAACAACTAAGAACTCTTTAGTGAAAAGACGTTGACGCCGGATATCCAGCCAGAAACAGAGAAACATTTAGCTGCTGAAACTCCAGGGGGCGCTGCGTTCTCCCCCGCTGTGCCTTGGGGCCAGAAGCCGCTCGACAGATGGGTGCTGTTCGAGGGTCTCACCGGGAGAGATGCCGATACCTTCGTAGCTCGGAGGCATCTATTGATCGTCACGGGATGCGCCCCCCCCCCCCCCGTCCGCTCCAACCCAATCCGGTGCCTTTGCGCCGCTTGTTGGCTCCGCGATTTGCATGGCAGGTGCAGCAGGCCTCCGCGGAGCGGGTCTCAAACTCCAGCCTCTCCCGGCTCTTCTCTCCTCCCCTCCTTTCCCAGAAACTCCAGCACTGCATGGCAGAGATGCCGCTCTCCTTT